GAAACCCATCACAACGCCGCCGCCCATGACTGGCCTTGTCTTCCCGGTTTTGTGCCATCTTGTGTCGGTGCCTTCTTCGTCTTCTTTAACTTTCCTGCGTTTTCTTGTGCCGGCCGTATATGCTTTTGATGGGCGATGAAAAAAGTGCCGGATTTGGCCGTCTTTCCTCATTCCTGCAATTTTCCAAGCACAAAGCTTTAGAATTTCATGTACGTTTAATCTTCCTCTTCCTTCTTAAAATTTTAAATTAAATATATCACTAAATACATTTGCAACTATTTTCTCTTCTAAGAGGCATTAAAAAAAATATTAGAATTTGGTAGAAATAGAAATCCCAATTGCACGTTTTAAAACGACATACAAACATAACAACGTTAACTTGATGATCAAAAGTTCGAAGACATGAAAACAAAGAATTATTTGTTTAGGCGTTGGATCGTTCCATTCTTAAAACGATTATCAAGAAAGACACAGCCAAGGATTATGGGACTCTATGAAGATGAAGTATCAAAGTTCAACTTGGGTTAAACGAGCTCAATGACAAACATTGAGGAAGAATTTGAGATACTCCACGTGAAGATAGGAGTCACTATCAACAACTATTTCTCATGTACACTTGTAATTACGAACAAGATGAAGGCTAATGAAACAAAATTGATATCGAAGTAGTGGAAAAGATATTGCGCTCTATGACTCCAAAATTCAATTATGTGTAGGCTCTTAGGCTAAGTATAGTCCATACAAAACACTATTCAACTTAGACTTTTCCTTTCTCCCATTTTTCAAATCCATGTCAGTTAATTTTCCAAGCAAAAAGGCAAATTTGACATCTAACTGAAGGAAAAGTCTACGAGCTCGTGCTTTATATGGACTAAAATAAGCACATTGAGATATAGTCTCAATAAGAGATATTTTTTAGTCTCGTAAGTAACATATAAGGTTGGTAGATATTTTTTAGTGTTAGAATAAGTACGTGGCTAATCTCTGGAATGAAGCCATTTAAATTCTATTCATAATCAATGGTTCCAAGAAGTAAATTGGGCAAAGATGAAGATGGATCAGTAGCTACCCGACTAGACATCATGTACGTTATGAGTAAAGTTAGTAGATGCATGAAAAATTCAAATGAGTTTAGTAACTATGCTAATGACATCGAAGACATAAAAAGTACAATCGATTGTGTACTCATAATGACTCATGATATGTTTGCGTACCAGGCAAATTTTGAGGGTGGGTGTAACAAATCCCATCATCTCCCTCTAATGTAGTAATGAATTCATCGATGAGAGGATGAAGCTTTCGCTTATCTCGTTTCACTTTCGCCTCTAAATGTTCCAAAATTTGTCGGTCACTTGGATCGAACTTCACTCCCGCCGGAGCCCTCCCCCAATCTTCCAATCCGCCCTAAATTAATTAATTAATTATATCATGACAATTCTTCGTACAAAAATAGATGACTCAATTCATCATGTTTAAATAAATAAAATACACATTTCCGCAACTACATGTAATTTCATAATTATATTTTTAATTAATTATTCTTCAACAATAAAATAGAGTCGAACTAATTAAATTTAAAAAATATTTATTATTATTTATAACCTGGAGTTGGAGTTGGAAGTGAAGAGGGTGTGCACAGGTTGGGCAAGCTAGGGCTGGAAATGCGACCGGTGATCGGTCATCTTGGTGGTTTCCGGCTGTAAAGAGATGAGCATCCACAGCGGAGACGGCGTCGTTTGTATTACCGAACCACATCATCTTATCACCATATTTGTTTCCACTTCCAGGTTTTGATTAAATGCAAACCCCATATACTTGGACCCCAAGTTAAGTGGACGGACACTTCCACTCATTTCCCCTTCTAAAGTCTATTGACTTTACCCAATAAATAAATATATACATAAATAAATTTCGTTAATATTGAAATAAATTAATATGTCCACGGCTTATCGAGCAAGGACGAGGAAGCCTTCCTAATTTCCATTCCGACTCCTTTTTCACTCCTCATTTATACTTCTAGAAACATGATATATATACGGTAAGAAAGTGAATGATATTGTTGTCGTTGAGCTCAAACAAATTTGTGCGCCAAGGTTGTTGTGGTGCAGGCCCACACTGCGCCTGCGCCAGCAGCGAGTATACATGCATGGAGTTTTGTGTTTCACCCATAATTCACTTTTTGGACTCTTTTACCCCATCTTTACCTTCAATTTTACCAAAAATATATGAGTAGTGCAGACTTGGAATTATACGAGTCACGTGTCACGGTCATGTTCGTCCAAAACGTGTTGTCTATAACCGCATGCTCATGACAAGTCAAACCCTTTATGTCTTTTCATATTCTAGTGTTTTACTTTTGTATTTCTTGGAAATAGACATAAATGCCTCATAATGTACTATAGGAGATACTCAACTTCTTCCTACCCAAAGTTATATACGGTGAGCAGTTGTTATTTCTTTCTTGCTTGTTTATATAACGTCTCTTTAAAAAATCTCTCTTTGCTCTTGTTTTCTAAAACTTTCTCTTAAGACCGAGGCTAGAGGCTCGAGCATACATCGCTTGGCCATAGGCGACATAAGAACGAATTAGCTTAGCTCACTTGTGGTTGGAAAGTGAGTGCCGCACAATCGCAAATCCGCTGTCATCAAAAGTGCGATTGTGACACTAGAGATCAAGTAGGGAAGTCCGGTCGGTGAAAGGGCGAAAAATGTCAAACAAAAATTGGTTGAGAGAACGGGTCCCTTCCACCGCCATAACAAATCCTCCAATTTATACACAAATTTCCAGCCAAATTCCACCTCTTGTTTGAAAATTATAATATTCCCATATTCAAAGAATTTTAAATTTTTAATTGTATTTTTGTTCAGTTTTCTTGTAAATTGAATCAACTTCCTGAAAAGTCAATATTTCCAACTTTTTCTAATTTTATTATATACTCAAATTTTAAAAAGGTTACGTAGAAGAACTATGAAGAGGACATGAACATAAAGAATAGATAGTATTAATTATGTAATTCAATATATCTACATAACAAAAAGGAGATTGATTCATTAATTAATTAATCAAACGCATAGCTGAGCCTCCAGATTGTTGAAAATGGCAACCACTTGACCGATCGCCGGCCTGCTCTTTCTGCAGTTCCCGACACAAGCCAGAGCAACCTTCCCCATTCTCATCAATGGCTTCAAATCAGAAGGGTACTCGATTCTTGGGTCCAGTAGCTCACTGAACCTCATCTCCTTTATCAATGGCAGCGCCCACTTCACCAGCCACCCTTCCTCGCAGCCCCTTCCACTCAAAAGCTCCAACAGCACAACCCCATATCCGTACACGTCGTTTTCCTTGCAACTCCCCTGCACGCCTTCCCCCTGCCAGTATTCCTCGTCCACATACCCTACTAATCCCCTTTTCTCTCTCGGCGCCAAGAAATTCAGCCCGTAATCGCTCAATTTCGCGCTCAATTTGGCGTCGATTAGTATGTTTGAGGGCTTCACGCAGCCATGGATCACGCTAGGGGCCATTGATTCGTGTAGATATTGAAGTCCTCTGGCTGCCCCTGCTGCGATTTTCACACGATGGCTCCAATTTAAGAGGAATCCCCCATCTGGGTTTTGGTGTAAGTACATGTCCAAATTCACGACGCCGGCGTATTCCATCACGATGATTCGTTCGCCGGGGGCTTCGGAGTATCCGGTGATGGTAACGAGATTTGGGTGTTGGGCAGAAGAGAGGGATTTAACTACAGAAGAGAATCCAAATCCAGCGTTGTTATTGCTTAGAACCAACCATGGGTAGATTCTTTTGACGGCGATGAGCTCGCCCGTGTCCAATAAGGCAGCGTAGACGGTGCCCAATCGGCCTTCGCCGATGACACGGCGGTGGCTGAAACCTTGAGTGGCGGTGTCGATGTCGATTAGCGTGTAGGATCGGATAGAGGGCTTTGACGGCGGCGGGGTTTCGTCGGCGAGTTGGCGATGACGGTGGCTGTTTCTGCAGATGAAGAAGAGGAGAACAGAGAGAAGTGCGATGAAAGAGGAAGAACAGAGTGCCAAGATTAAGTAATAAGCAAGCTTCTGGGTATGCTTCATTTTGGCGTTAATGGATAAAACAGAAGAAGTGGGTTTCCGCCATTAAAACAGAGAATTTCAGAAAGAATCACAGCGGAAAGGGAGAGAGATTGAGATTAAGATGAGAAAGGGGTTTGAAAATTGGGTGAGAAATGTTCAACTTTTCGTTGTTTATAGTTGTGGTTGTTCATAGTTGGCTGCTTCCACCAATTTAATAAATCAAAATGTCAAAATAAATTAAATTAAAATTCTAAATTTTTTTTTTTATTTTATAATTTCATAAATTAATGAGAATTTAGTATAATTAAACTACATGATAGTTTTCACCCTAATTTATTTATTTTTTTTAAAAAAAAACATAGTTTTTACCATTTCTAATGCTTTAATTTTGTTTGGTGGGACCATGGTTTTGACTTTGAGTTGATCATAGCTTAAGCATTTAATTATGTTCTACTTTTTATAAAAAGTGCATGTGTTTTGGTTCTGGTTTAACAAGTTTTTAGGACTCAATTAATTATTCTAATTAAACTATAAACCTAACTTAATTCAATCACGATTTCTTTTGGTTTAGTTTGTAACCACCCGAGTGGATTGTCGGATCTTACATCAATTAGAGATTGTAACGAAACCTTTCTTATAAGAGTGTGGAAACAATATGTAACAGGTCAAAGTGACAATATTTGCTAACAGTGGTGTTACAAATGATATCAGAGCTAAGTCTTGAGAGGTGTGCTAGTAAAGACGTTGGCCCCTAAAGCGGTGGATTGTGAGATTCCACGTCGAAGCAAGGACACTGAGCTTCTAAAGGGGATGGATTCTGAGATCCTATATTGGTCGGAGATGGGAATAAAACTTTTTTTTTTTATAAGAGTGTGAAAACCTCTCTAACAAATGTGTTTCAAAATCGTGAGACCTGATGATGATACGTAATAGTAGTGGTGGACTTGAGCCATTACAAATGGTATTAGAGCTAGGTCTTGGACGATGTGTCAACGAAGATATTGGTCTCCAAGCGGGTGGTAGATTGTAAGATCCCACATCGGTTAGATAGGAGAACGAAACATTTCTTATAAGAGTGTGGAAACACATCTTTCTGGTAGACGTATTTTAAACTCTTGAGATTGAGGCTGACTGACAACAATATGTAGCGAGTCCATTCTCTGCCTTGCTCTCTAGAACGACGACAAACTGATACCAACTTAAAGAACTATACCACATTTTCACTCTCTGAAACATCATCCAAACAATATGCCTTCAATCTTCCCTCTCTCCCTCCAATCATCGGGTGGCTATCCATACGAACTTCTTCCAACAGCTTAACCACTCGCCGCATGGCTGGGCGGTTCACAGGTTGAGGGCTGCTGCATTGGAGCCCAATGTTGAGGACCTTCAACATTTCCTCCATGTGACACCAATCCAATTTCGGGTCTACAATATGCTTCATGCCTTCCTTTTCTAAACTGCTGCATACCCATTTCACTAGACCGTTTTCTTCAAACTCGGGGTCGGTTGGCCGCCGCCCTGTTATCAGCTCAAGGATCACCATCCCGTAGCTAAAGATGTCGCCCTTTTCGTTCACTTTTGATGAATAAGCATACTCTGGAGCAATATAACCATAAGAACCAGTAACCACCGACATCGATTTAACCTCGGATAGGTCGACAGCCATAGCTATTCCAAAATCTGCTATCATAGCTCCGAAATCAGCATCCAACAAGATGTTATTAGACTTGATATCTCTGTGTATGATTGGAGGAACACAATCATGATGAAGATAAGACAGCCCCTCAGCAACATCCAAGGCTATCTTGTATCTTGTTGGCCAATCCAATAACGCACTTCTACTGTCATGAAGCATGTCACCTAAGCTTCCATTAGGCATGTATTCATACACCAAAAGCTTGCTGACTCCATTGCTACAACAACACAAAAGTTTCACTATGTTTTTATGTCTGATGTTACCCAAAATCTCCACTTCCGCATCAAAAACATCATCTTCACTCCAAACTTTCTCGAGATCGAAGCTGTCGCGGTCGTTCGACACCTTGGGCCAAAGTTTCTTAACAGCAATGGTGGAACCATTGGTGAGAGCAACCTTGTAAACTTGGCCAGAGCCGCCACTGCCTATCACGTTGTGTTCATCCAAGGAACCCACAATCTCGTCCTGGCTAAAAGACAGCTTTTGAAAGGATGTCATTGTCCATTTTGATTTCATGTTTAGACTTCTTGAGGCGAGGAATTTCTTGTACTTGACGTGGAAGAAAGCCATTCCCACAAAGAAAATTACACCTGCTGATACAAAAACAGATCGCATCATCCAAATGCAAACTCCATCCCCATCGCAATCTCCTCCTCTTCTACTAGATTTAATTGGACGACACGCTCCATTTCCATCCCTACACAAATCAGGATTACCAAGAAAGCTATTTCTATACACTTCACTCTCGAAATAGGAAGGAAGCGTCCCATTTAAGTGGTTGTATGATAGATTAAGAACATTGAGGTTCGTGTTCTGTAACCCATATGGGATTTCCCCTGAAAATTGATTGCCTGAAAGATCGAGGTAATTAAGCACAGGCAAGTTAGCAATTTCACGGGGAATTTGCCCAGAAAAGTTATTATTAGCCAGATTCAGCTCATTTAGCCTCTTCCAGGCATCAAGCCTGCTGCTAATCAACCCCGAAAGCATGTTGTTTTTAAGATTTAACTTGGCAAGCGTATGTATTTTCGTGAGGCTCTCAGGGAAATTCCCTACGAACTTGTTATTGGCACCGGCGAACTCTACCAGATTCTCCAAAGACCCCAACTCCTCTGGAATTGTTCCTGAGAATTTGTTGTTAGAAATAAGAAGCAAACTCAGCCGCTTGGAATTGGCTATGTTCTTAGAGATTGGACCAGAGAAGCTGTTGTTTGCAAGTTCAAGCAGAACAACACCTGGAAGTCCCCATAAATTTTCAGGTACATGACCCGTAAGATTATTGTTCCCTAATCGAATCCTGGTTAGGGAGTGGCAATCACCGAGACTCGACGGGAGTTCGCCGGAAATGAAATTGTTGATCATCATTATTTCTAACAGTTTTCCATTCTCACATAAGGCCTCGGGAAGCCTGCCGGAAAAGAAGTTGTTGGAAATGTCCAACGATTCCAGAGGCGAATATTTCCCCAAATATCCTGGTAACGCCCCCGTGAATCTGTTTGAAAATAGCTTGACCTCTGTCAAAGTCCTCGACCTCCCCATGCTTTCCGGCAAGCTACCCTCGAACTTATTCTCAAACGCATTAAGGCTTTCGAGCGGCAACTCAAACAAGTCGCTCGGAATAGGCCCAGAGAACTTATTCATCGAAATATCGACCAACCGCAACGACTTGAGTTTCGAAAGCCCATCTGGTAACGCACCGGACAAGGAATTGCTAAACAACTCAATCTGGGACATGTGGGTTAACTCCGTCAGCGCTGGGGGGAACGACCCAGAAAGATTGTTAATGCTCAAATCAAGAAGAACGAGATTCTTGAGCCGTCCCAGCGAGTCAGGAATCTCCCCCTGTAAGTTACAACCCGTCAACCAAAGAACCTCAAGATTCACTAGATTACCCAGCTCCGGCGGGATTCTTCCCGGCTCAAAACTGTTGTAAGACAGATTCAACATCCTAAGAGTGGTTATGTTCCCAAGAAACGGAGGGATCACACCACCCATCAGATTCAAAATAAGGGAAAACGCCTCAAGTTTCTGAAACCGAGCGAAGGTGGGTGGTATTTCGCCGGAGAAATTGTTGCCGGACAAATCCAAGTAACGGAGGTTAGGCATATCAGCAAGGGAGGGAGGCAGAGAACCGGTTAAGAGATTTTGGCCCAGGTCGAGATACTCGAGATTTGTACAGTTGACGAGGTCCGGCGGAAGAAGGGAATGGAAGCTATTATTGTAAAGAGAAACGTAGAGGAGAAGCGGAAGGTTACAGAGATGAACAGGAAAAGGGGCAGAAATTCCGGAGCTGGGGAGGTCGAGGGAAATGACGTGATGATCTACATCGCAGATGATGCCGTACCAGGAACAGGGGTTCGGGTCGGCGTCGTGCCAGGAGGAGAAGGCATTGTTATGAGCGTCGACGGAGCGCTTAAAGTCAAGGAGAATTCGACCCTCTTGGTTGAGGGCGAAGGAAAACAGAGGAAAACAGAGGAGGAACAGGAGGGGACGTAAAGGCATCGAAGAAAATGGTGGAAGAAGAAGAAGAGTGGGCGGTGGGGTTCCGATGATGGGAGGATGGTGGAGGAGGGTGAATTGAAAGAAGAGCTCCGGGGAAGAGGGTGAGTAGTGAAGAAGACGGTAGGGGAGGCGGTGGGGTTCTGTTTCAGAGGATTTTCCATTTTTGAAGCAAGGTTACAGCTCTTTTCCAAACCGTAATAAGCAAATCCTGGTTGGTTGGAGAGAAGAAGATGAAAAACAGAGGAGAAGACTAAATTATTAAAAAATTAACCTTCGTATTTCCTATTTTTTTTGCTTTAAAATTTTAATTCTATCCTTAATTATAAATGTTTTAAAATTACCTTTTATCTTTTCAACCATTTCAATTTTAGATCTTTTACAAAATTTCTAAAATATTATTGACCTTTTTTCTTTTTCTTTTTCTTTTTTTTTTTGTGCCAATTTTACTGTTTTTACTTTTTCGCTTAATGGGTTTCGTTTCTTTACATTATTATTATTTTCTTCTATTTTGTTGGGTTAAATTAAATAATTATTTTGTAAACTGTTTTTTTAGTTTTTTAAAAAAATTATATTGTAAATTAAATAATTTAAAAATAAATTGTATGGTTGATATTTATTTTTTTCAAAATAAAGTATATTAATGAAAAAGTCAAAATATTAAATTTTTTTTAATTATAAAGCCAAACCGAACCAAAAAATACAGAAAAAAAAAAACTACGTACAAAAAATGTTGTTTTATAATAATTTCAAGATGTTTTTCTTGGATAAAATTTAATTTTTTTAAAATATAGTGGCAAAGTTATATATATATATATAATTTAGGATATATTAGGTAAATCAAACATTAATTTTTCATCATCCTATTTTATTTATTATGGTTAAAAGATTGTTTTTACAAGATTATGAATAATTCCTAGTAATTTTGGATCATATATTCATGGAATTTGTTAAGAAGCATGAATACATATCCATCGAATGGTTGAACACTTTTTTTTTTTTTTTTTATCTATTACTTTTCATTTATGAATCATATATTCGACTTTTACAATATAGTTGTTTCGTGATAATTACTACAATATGGTTCGATTTAGGCTATTTAAGAGAGTTCTATAATGTCAATTATATAGAACATTTGAAATGGCCAATGACTCGACTCGAACCTGAACATATGAACATATGAGTGAAGCAACAAAACTCCTTTGCCTCGATCTTACTCCATTCTTTCTATATTCCAAACAAATTTTCTAATTCCGGCGTCTCAATTGCTTTCAAGCCACCACTAACTTCACTTTTCCTCTACTCATCTTCCTCTGCTTCATATTAATACACTTCAAAACTCCCCCATTTCCATCAACTCAACCTTCAATTGATTGAATTTGATTGGAGTTTGGACGTCTCAGCCATGGAGATCAAGCCCGCCGACCAAGAAACCCAATCTCCAAACGATCAAAACCAACCCCTTTTACGAGAAACAACGATCATCCCATCAAGAGATGAAAGAACCCTCATCCAAAAAGCCATTTCCCAAACCTTTCGAAGCACTGCTTCTTTGGCAAATCTTCTCCCCACCGGTACAGTCCTCGCCTTTCAACTTCTTTCCCCAATTTTCAACAATCAGGGCAACTGCGACTCCATTTCCCGCTACCTCACCGCCGCCCTCGTTGCTTTGTGTGGACTCTCCTGTTTTCTTCAGAGTTTCACTGACAGTTTCAGAGACAGCCAGGGGAATGTTTGCTACGGATTCGCTACTTTCAAAGGCATGTGGATTATCGACGGCTCCGAGGAGCTGCCGGCAGCGGACGCTGCCAAGTATCGGCTGAGATTTATTGATTTCTTGCACGCTTTCATGTCGATTCTGGTTTTTTCGGCCATTGCTCTGTTTGATGAGAATGTAGTGAGCTGTTTTTACCCGGCGCCGTCCGATCAGGCGCAGGAGATCTTGACGTCTTTGCCGGTTGGGATTGGCGTGTTTTGTAGCATGTTGTTTGTTCTTTTTCCGACCAGACGCCATGGAATTGGCTTCCCCATCTCTGCCACTTAACGGCGGAGTTGCTCCATTATTCGCCGGCATTCCCTTTTGCTGGCACTTATGCTGACTTGGAGTAGGAGATACTTCGTGTGATTCTGATTGTTATTATTATTATTATTTTCTCTTCATCAATCATTCCACCCCACCCATTATTTTAATCAATGTATTTACGAAGAAATCCCATCAAAATTCACACGTTTAAGATTAAAAGTATTAATCTTGTTTGTTTTGATTTTTATAGTTTATAATTTTATACGGAGAAATTTGGAATGTTTTTTTTTTTTAATTTTAATTTTTGTAAGTTTATTTATTATTATTTTTTGGAGTTTGCAATGGCATATAAACCACAAAGTAAGACAGTGGAAGTGGATATGATAAGGAGATATCTGAATACAGACAAACCCCTTCAGGATTTTGACAACTCAGCTTCTTCCCATCTCTCATTCGCTCTCTTTCCCGATAACTGGACCCCACCACATCCCCATTCGCATCCACACATAATCCCTCTCTCTGTTTTATTCATCCCATCTTCCGCCACGTCACCCTCCCTCCCCATCAACCCTCCCAGCTGGCGGTTGCACAAGCCCGTACTCTACTTCTGGATGCACTGAATCCAATAATACGCATCACAACAAATTACCGCCAGAATAAATCCTCGTCGTAGCCAACGAAACAACATTTGCGTCTCTCTCGCTAACATTCACTCTGTGCTGCTGCTGCTGTAGTCATGGAGTCCCACGTCCTCTCACGCGCCACTTCCTTCGCCGGCGGCATTTCCAGTCTCCGCAAGTTGCATAGGGAGACCACGTCTAACAACAGCCATATCGCCTTCGTTCAAACCAGGCCGATCGCCGAGGGAGCTAACTTGATTTGGGGAAGACAACTACGGCCGTCTCTACTTCTCGACAACCTCTCGACGCCGAATCTAGCATCGGCCAAACGGGAGACGCTTCGGCCTACCTTTGCGGCGGCCTCCTCTTCTCCCGCCGGAGGCAGCGATTCCGCTGGGTGAGGTTCGTTTCCTCAGTTATGAACCGGACTGGCTCCCCAGATTCACCTTCCAACTGATCCTATTTTCTTTCAGGGAAGCGAAGGTTGCTCCAGTGGGTTTCTTTGAGAAGTATCCGGCGTTGGTCACCGGATTCTTCTTCTTCATGTGGTAGGTTTAGGTGTAGTCTGTAGTGTAGGTCCCGTGTCCTGCACGGCGGAGACCGGGTTGCAATTATTATGTCACGGCAATTTAGAGTTGGTTGTGCGAAATTACCGTGGTGTCCTTTGTTTTGTGTAGGTACTTTTTGAACGTGATTTTCAATATCCTCAACAAGAAGATATATAATTACTTCCCCTATCCATAGTATGTGATTTCATCCCTGTATGTTTTCTATATATATCTAAATAGTTATTAATATATCCAGTGTTTGTCTACGTGGCAGTTTTGTGTCGGTGATCCATTTGCTCGTCGGAGTGGTGTACTGTTTGATAAGCTGGGCTGTCGGTCTTCCTAAGCGAGCAGTAAGTCAACTCTTTCCAGCCCAGATACCAATTTTGTCTTCCTTTTTAACTTTGTTCATTCAAATTGCTGCCAACAAACTTGGTATTTATTCTCGTAATGATTTATGATAAATTGTACATTGTAGTATTGATATAATTAAATTTACATGTCATGTAGCCTAATTGGTTCGAACATTTAAGCGATTTGATTGAATATTTTAGTGTGTAAAAGCTTGGTATAAGGGTAGCTCTGTTCTCAACACAAGGGATTGTTTGTTTTGGCATGCAGCCTATTGACTCAACCCTTCTGAAGTTGCTGATCCCTGTGGCTTTCTGTCATGCACTCGGCCATGTCACTAGCAATGTCTCATTTGCAGCTGTTGCTGTCTCATTCACACACACAGTCAAAGGTAAACCACCAAATTTACCAATGATTCAGTTTATGGCGGCATGTTCCTGGATTTTGTTGTTTCGCTGAAAATCTTGTTCAATCATTTTCAGCTCTGGAACCGTTCTTTAACGCCGCCGCTTCTCAATTCATTTTGGGGCAATCCATTCCCATTACCTTGTGGCTTTCATTGGCTCCCGTTGTCATTGGTAAATCCTTCCACCTTTTCCTGCTGCATTTTAATGTCATATGGATTTGGTTTCACGTGACGATGGTTTTGTTTTGGATTGATGAATGCAGGTGTGTCAATGGCGTCCTTGACTGAGCTTTCATTTAACTGGACTGGCTTCATTAGTGCTATGATTTCCAATATCTCCTTTACCTACAGAAGTCTTTACTCAAAGAAAGCCATGGTATCTTCTTCCTTTGGCTCTTTTAGACTTTGCTATCTCTAACTTGAACTGACCTATGCTTTGCTTACAGACTGACATGGACAGCACCAACGTCTATGCCTATATTTCCATCATTGCTCTCCTTTTCTGCATTCCACCTGCTGTAATTGTAAGTTTCTCTTACCTATACTAACCCATCAACTTCTGTATCTTGCTTGTGAATAAATATTCGTTTCTCTTAGGAATTACGGACCTCTACAACGATATGATATTGTCTACTTTGGGCATTAGCTCTTATGACTTTGTTTTTGGTTTTTCCAAAATAGCTCGTACGTATGGAGATAGTATTCCTTACTTACAAACCCATGATCATCCTTTTAATTAGCCAATGTGAGACTCCCTCCCAACAATCTTCAACAATTCTCCCCTCGAACAAAGTGAACAAAGTACACCATATAGCCTCCCTTGAGACGTATGGAACCCTCGAATAGCCTCCTCTTAGTTGAGGCTCGACTCCGTCTTTAAACCCCTTGAACAAAATACACCCTTTATTCCACACCTGAGTCACTTTTGAGTACACCTTTGAGGCTCACAACTTCCCAACAACCTTCAACAATTCTCTCCACAAACAAAGTACACCATATAGCCTCCCTTGAGACGTATGGAGCCCTCGAATAGCCTCCTCTTAGTTGAGGCTTGACTCCTTCTTTAGAGCCCTTGAACAAAATACACCCTTTATTCAACACTTGAGTCACTTTTGAGTACACCTTTGAGGCTCACAACTTCCCAACAATCTTCAACCATTCTCCCCACAGACAAAGTATGCCATATTATAGCCTCCCTTGAGACGTATGGAGCCCTCGAATAGCCTCTTCTTAGTTGAGGCTCGACTCATTCTCTAGAGCCCTTGAACAAAATACACTATTTATTCAACACTAGTCACCTTTGAGTACACCTT